ATTTAATGTGTCTAACCCTGCTAATGATTCAAGTTGTATAAATACTAAGACCTGACCAAGGGACTTAAAAATGCATGTAATTGGTGATAGAGGCTAAAAAAAAACTAATTAGTATGGGATTAAGAAAGAATAGAAGACGGCATGGTAGGTAGCATAGTGGATGGTGCATTGAGCTGGTAACCACAAGGTTTGTGATTCGTGGGGAAAAATGAGTGGTGTGCTCCTATAAAGATTTAGTCTCAGAAACGTTAAGGACCAGTTCTACTCTTATCCTAAAGAATGCCTCTCAGTGAGCATGTGAGAATTGACACAATTGCAACAGGTAAGAGAGGATGCAGAGTCTGATGGCAGCAATCATAAATAACTCTTTTAAGAACGACTTCAAAGGGAATAATAGTTTTTATCTTATTCTTTTCTTGGATTTCTAGTCAATTGTTCGCTTGTGAGAAAATCATCAAGATAATAGAGAATAAATTTTTTCAATAATTAAGAAAAACACGTACTGTCTGCTGATATGAAGTATTGAATAAGAGTTAAAAGAAAATAACTTAGAAGAGAGGGGGGTGGCGTTGCTGAATTCAGTGACCTTTAATAGACAAGTTAGTGCTGCAATTGAACCATTATCACTGACAGGAACGCTACAGTTAAAAGCCTCCATGGCTCCTTAAAATCTAGTTGACACATGGGAAAAAAAATAGGATGTAGACAAGAGTATGGAAAGTTGAAGGATCCTGCTAGAGCTGTGGGTTAGCATTGGGCTGCCAGCCTTAAGGTTGGCCATTCAAATCCCCCAGATGCTCCTAAGGAAAAAGATGAGACTATCTCCTCTGATAATGATTTATAGCCTTATAAACCCTGCATAGGATCACTAAGAGTTTTAATTAATTTGATGTCAGTGTTTGGTTTTAGCTCAGGAACAGCTCATGTATGTTAAGAGTGGGGAAAAGATAGGAGGTACAGATGCTAGCTGATGAGAGTAAATGTAGTGATGGGAATTTATGGCACTATTCTTTTCCAAAGTTTCTCAGTCCACTAAGTTATTCAAAGCCCAGTAAAATCATCGTTGGAGAGTAAGAAGGGGAAGAGGTATTTGAGGTTTAAGAACAGGATAGAAATATAATAATGGATAAGAACAGTAGGGACGAACTGAAGGAGTGCCGTATAGTATGATTGCCAGTCAATATTAAGGGCTCAACTGAGGCTCCTAATCATGGATTTAACCCACCAACATGGTTATATATTTTTCTCCAACCATCTTAAGTTGTAGTATGCAAACACTGAGTACATGGAGAGTGTACTGAATCAGCATAATTGTTGTTAAATGAGTAAAATGAAGCAAGAAAGCGGCAAGGAGTGGGAGGGTGTGTTTAAGGAGCAGGCTACCCGAGAGAGGTGAGAGACGCTATCAAGGGGGTGCAAGATAATGAAGATGCGAAAGAATAAATGCGTCAGACGTCCCAGTGGGTTTGTAGCGTACTTTAAATCAGGCTTCTAAAGAAATTTTAAAACTAGGTCAGAGTATGCGATATAGGATATTAAGATGACAGGTTAGAGGGTAGTAATTGGAGTCTAGACTCTGACCATAAAGCGAGTTATAGAAAAAGAGGAGAATACTTTCGGTGGAGAAGAGGGGTTCAAAGAACTGAGAGACCAGGGTAACGGATATAAGAGGGGTATCCTCCAAACTGGATTTTTTTCAAAGCCATGTATTTAAATTTGTTTACAAAACAACCTCATCACCTTCAAAGTACTCTCCAATTACACTTACTGCATCTGTCAAATCTACGATTCTATTTTTGGAAATATTTTTCAAACTCATCTGTTTGGATGGCTGACAGCACCTCCCTCATTTTTTTTCCCTTCACCTCTTCTACACCGTCAAATCACTGTCCTTTTATGTCCCTTTCCATTCATGGAAACAAACAGAAGTAAGGAGTATGGGGCAAGAGAGGCATGCTGTTTTTGTTTGTCTGTTTGTTTGTTTTTTAAAACATGAGCAGGTACATTGTTGTGGTGGCAAAACCAGTCCCCCATCTGCCACAAATAAGGCCTTTTTATGGTCACAAACTGCTACGCATCTTCAGAACTTCTAAATAGAAACTTGATTAACAGTCTGACCTGGTAGAAAGAACTCCAAATGCATTACGAGACCACATTTCATCTGTTTGGGAAGTTGACGGACGTCCAGAACAAAGTCTGTCATAAATCGACATTTCACCATTTTTGAAACAAGAAAACCACTTGTACACTTGAGTTTTTCCTATAGTTCTGTCCTTGTGAGCTGTGTTCAGCCACACAACAGTTTCCATGGTATTTTTTCCCAAGCAGGAAACAAAATTTCACAGCCACATGCTTTTCTCTTAAAATGGCCATCACAAAAAAAAGTAAGTTCAAGCAAAACAGCTTTTATGAAATAATTCACCTTAACCAGAGAGAATCTTCCCAGGTGACGTGACTGGATGCACTAACTTTGAGAGAGTTGCAGGATGCTTTCCTAGCGAGGAAAAATGCATACTACAAAAGCTCTGCTCTGGCCAGAACAATTCTGGTTCTTTCAGGGGGTACCCACTCTTTGTGTATTTAAATGACAAAGAACTGATACATGAGTATTGATAAAGTGACTTGTGAAAGCTGAAAAATGAGGAGGAATGACCCAGGTATGACATAAACAAAGACAAGTAAAAGAAACATTGAGAATTTAACTATGAAGATTCAAGCTGCATGGACTCAGGGAGGTATGACAGAGAATAGTTTAAAAGGGGCAATGATAGTCAAGGTAACTCCCATCTCACCTTTGTATCCAGTGGTACTTGAGAATTGGTAGAATGAGCAGCTCCTACCTGAAAACCCTACAGGAGAAGTAGGGGACTGGGGAGAACCACTTTTACATTAGAGCATAAAGATGGTGGGAAGGTTCAGGGATAGAGATGAGAAAGAATTCTATAGGAACAAAATAGGTAAGGAAAGGAATAAGTCCGTTGAGAGATGGAGTTTCTTGAGTTAATGGACATAAATTGTAATACAGGACAGAATTAATTCCAAATATGTATGTGGGCATGATTTTATTATCTTTGGAGAATGAAGTAGGTGTTTGGGGCTTCCTGTTGTCTCTTGCCGCGGCATGCCACAGCTGCGGAGATGAGCTTAGAGCACAGACTACATCAGACAGTGTAGAACTACTGATCTTGGGAGACACAGTCGAACTACTCCATGTGGTTTCTGAGGCTGTAATATTTATGGGAGCAGACAGCCTCATCTTCCTCCTGTGAAATCACATCAAAGACATTTCGTTTGCAGCCTAACACTTAGCCCACTGTTCCACCTAGGACCTTTTCTGTAGAGGCAAGAAGGGTATTAATCTCAGCCTATGGATCTAATTACTCTTCTATTATAGATATTGAATGCCTGGGGAAGTCAAGAGTTTGGTTCAAATACATGAATCTAAGTTTGACTCCTATTGGGAGAGAGAAAAGCTTATTTTTCATGCCATGCCACTTCTTGAAGACACTGAGACTCTTAGGAAAGCCACAAATTACATTCAGTTTTCATTTCTATATCTCCAAATGAGAATAGTAAAATGTATCTCCATATCACTTATGCCAGAGTACGTCTTATTAATGATGATCACAGTAATTGTAATCTACATTGATATCGCACCAATTTTTGCCCAGAGAGGCAGTCTTTTTTTTAATCTCTCCAGTCCTGATACAATTAGTTAGAGAGACAGTAATTTTTACCCATATATCATGAAGGATCAAACTACTGACTTGATAAAAATTTCATTCAACGTATCACATGACATAAAGTCTCACATTATGTAAATCAATGAGATGAAGTTAATCACTTAAGTAGGTATAGTAAATGTCATCTTAGCAGGTTATGTTTTAATAGTTATCTACCTATCCTCTCCACATTCAATTTTACTGAGTATCTGTGTTCAGACACTGTGCAACACAGTAGTAAGGAAGTAATTAAGAGCTCCACTCTCATTTATAGTCTAGTGAGGATGAGGGCATTTATCAAAGCTGCATGTATATGATTAATGCTTTGAGTAGAGACTAAAACGAAGACAGCTAAAATTGTCCATTTGCTGAAAATTAGCTGAAGCCAATTTTTCAAATCCACAAATTCCATTACACTTTGAGTTTATCTTTAGAGCCATGGCATCAAAAGAACTACGATGGCCATAGCAAGAGAGTGGAGTCACCACAGTGTCGTGGAAACCTGCCACTGCCAACCTCTTGAGTAAGGTCTTGCCATTCGTTCCTTTTGGTTCTAGTATCTAAAGCCTACCCTTCTCAGAGATCAGCTTAAGTGTCACTGCATCATAGGATCAGGAGCACTCTCAACTTGTTGTTGTCCCGTGGGTTCTGACCTGTATTGATTACATAAGGCAGAGTAAAACTGTCCCATAGGGGTTCAAGGCTATAAATCTTCGTAGAAACAAACTGCTACAATCATTGTGGGGACTGCTCAAAAGCAATGCTATTTTAGTTTTTACAACAATGGGATCTTACATTTCCACAATTGAAGCCTAGAAAGAAGCACAAAGTATGACTGTTCTGCCAGAAATGGAGTTGTGTCATCCTGAGCCTGCCCTTAATCTCCCACCTACCAAGTAAGCCTCTGCACAGTCAAAGGAGTGGTAAGGCCCTAGCCTCTAAGCTTGGCTCCAGGTACATTAGGCTTTGCTGGGACACAGACTCATTTAATCTGCTGATACCAGTAGTCTTTTCACTTTCCAAATGAGCAAACTCCACCTTAAGCACACAAAAATCAGAGAAATTCCAGCTTCTTTGTTCACTTCAATATCTTATTAACTCCTTAATGACACATTCTAAACTTCATCTTTTGATTCTTCACAGAATCATTCTGTATAATCCACTGGCTAGAAAATCGGCATTGCTTACCTTGTCATATTCTATTTAATGCCATTTTCGCTGCTACTCCAAGACCAGACTTTAAAATGCTATATCCATGTTATTCAAAAATATACTCACTGCTACTTGGTGGCAAAAACAGTCCATTGATATTTCGAGGTTTGCTGTGATAAAAGACACAACTGATCTTCACACAGCCAAGAGGCTGAGTTTCCCAGAAGCATGAAATGCTGCAGTTTTGCTAGATAGATGGGACGGGGGAAATGTAATAATCAGACGCCACATTCACAATAAATGCAGTGTGCTATACTAGGCTTAACTACGGACTTATGATCATGTGTATTTCCCACCTTTCAGCGTTTCCTAGTCATGCCCTTTCTTTGACCGATACAATGGGTGCCCCTAAAACAGGCTCCTCTAGGCTTCTAAGAATTTAAATCTAGCAAAATGCTAAATGGCAGAAATTGATTTTTGGCTATTGGCAGTGAGACAATCATTTTCTTATTGCTGTAAACATATATACATTTCAATGTTCTTGAACGGCAAAACGTTTGACGAAATTGATGATGTTGAGGAACTCTACCTGCATTTCCATGTGTCTAAATCTGCAAAGGGGATCTAAACATTTCCCCTCTCTCCATAACGAACACACAGTGTCACTGCCAAGGGCTTCTTCACAGTGTCGAAACCGGCACTGGGAACCCTGAAAGGAGGGGGGAAAAGTAATCAGTGCAGAAAATGAAGAATATATTAATACAATAATTGCTAATCAATGAAGTATGTAACTATCGTTAGAATCACGAGCAGTATTCTGCTGAATGGTAGCAGAATAGAGAATCAAATGTCAGAGTATATGTCTAAGCTTTAGCAAATTGGTCTTAGTGAGAGACAGATAAACTAATATGATAATCTAATAATTAAATTGTACAATATACCTTACGACTCTCTGATAACAAAACACTTTTAAAACCCAAATGGCTCACTAAGGATAGACCACTAAACTTAAATATATACAGATCCACAGATGGAAACAAACGCAGGCCACTGCCTTTGGGGAAGAGATGTGGGTAACATATAAGAAAAAGTATTCCATCTGTTTCTTCTGTATTTTGATGCATGCCCTTAATTGTTCCTTGTCTTTTACCCCTCTTTCATTCTGGTCTTCCTGCTCTCCCTCTTTTACATAGATTGTAGATCTCAAAGAACAGAGTCGGTGGCAGGGGATGTGAAGTCAGATCAACCCATACTCAAAATCTCTGGCTTGATTACTTGCCCACAGTTACAAAGTTAGACCATTCCTAGACCTGTATCACAGTTTCCTCCTCTATAAAGAAGGAATCAAATCCCTTCTCTTGGGCATTTCTGCTCAGAACCAAGGGATCAAACTAAGAGGGAAGGAGAGAGAAAGAGAGAGTGGAATGCAACCAGGCCCACCAAGTCCCAAAGATGATATTCCTACGCAGAACAGCCAAAGCACAGAAAGGACCATAGGGCCAACCCCACAATTAGACACGACCTCCCTCACTGACCATTGCACTATGGGGGACAACACTGGAAATACAGTGTGAGAATTGTGCCCGATCTGACTCCACCACACCAGGGTGAAACACGAAGGGTGTGCAACAGAGCAGCAAGGGGAGCAAAGCTATGAAGTCACTGGGTAATACCAAAAATAGACTTCGGGGGCAGGGCATGACACCCTATCAGACTTGACTAGATGGCACTCATAAAGGTCAACAGAACTGGAACTATTTATAGGCTTTTCTCTTTTTTTTTTTTTTTTT